AATGAATTAGCAGATTCTGCAGCTAAGGAAGCTTCAGACTCAACACTTTCACAAACTAAATTGCATATCCCATTCCAAGATCTTACAAACCGTATAAAATTCTCGATAAAAGAAGAATGGAATAAAAAATGGAACACAAATAGTGATACTATCAGCAACATAGTACAAAAACAAATCATATTCTATACAAATGTAAAATATTCGATCAGTAAAAGTTCTTTGCGCTCGCATTATTTTCTCCATAGACTCCTAAAATGTGGTTGTTTCGAAAATATTGGATCGATTGTAGGCGTCACTGTATCAGGGTGGTTTAGCGTATATTTTCCCACCGTGAGTTGAAGTTCGTGCGCGACGTGTAATATTAATCAGAAAAGGGCGCGCTAGAGAAGAGTATTCAAGTAGCAGTACTAGTTCTCAGAGGAAGACTAAAGAGCAAAGACTCAGACTTCCAGTTTTAAGACTGAAGAACACGGGAGAGCTTATCATGCTGTCTGAAAGGGATATTGTGTGAAGTTCTCTGGTGCATGCTCTTTACATCCTCTTGTACCCTGTCGTGTCGGTGATAACACTGAAGCTTGATTCATGCATTTCAGTTTCGCGTTTGTATTATGTCTTGCGCATCGCTGCAGAAAATATTAAAAATTATAAACTTTTGTACGAATCGTTTATTATAGAAATCCTATTTATAGTTTTAATGTTTGACTAATTAAATATATTGAAATGCATGATATAAGAAACAATTGTATTAGAAGCATGCGATAAAAGAGTTGATATGTCGCGTAATATTGTTAGAACAAAGCTGTTCGATAAGATTAGATCAGGAATCAATTTTTGTAGAAGTAAAATAGATAAAACAATCGTTTCTATTGAAGAAAATTTTAAGATTAGTTACACAGATAAATCACTCATCGATAAGGATTTAAATAAATAATGGACGAAACAATATACAGGCGGTATAAGATATTCGTAAAAGTGGAGATTATAGTCACGATAAACTATTTGTAGTAAAGAACGTCAGTGTTGAGCATGCCTGTCCTTGTTGAGTACGTCGTCGAGTATCCAAAAATATGTTTCAACTCGAACTCGTCTCTGAAATTGCGATCATATTTTCTACTACACATTACGTAATTGAAACAACATGCCGATACCAGAATTTATCTTATCTCGTGAATGAAAATCTTGTCGCTAGCGAGTGCAATATATTCGATTGACTACTAAAAAGCCTTGTCCGATCGTAGGAGATCTTAACGTCTTAGTAGAACTAATTGGGACGCACGTAACAAATTCTTTGTGTGACATTTAATTTTCCGCTCATCGTCGTCTTCTGTCACGCGTGTACATTCGCGTAAATCAACATGCACACGTTTATGTTAATGCACACGATGCATGGCTTACAGTGATATCCATAAATGGCACACGAGTGTGAATTGTAGTTATCAATTGTAAAGGTTGTGTAATTGTACGACGTTCGCCGTTGAGACAAAAATAGAGCTTACGTAAAACATTGTAATGGAATGTAGACCACTGAAATTTTTACTCATATTTTTTCATATTCGCTAACGCTCAAAATTTTGAGCACGAAAGTTAACGAGACACATTTTACGGCCACTTATCTGTTTTTGTATTATTTAGTACTGTCTTCGTTTAAAAGGATACGACAGGTACCATAAGCAAAGTTTCTAATATCAGCGAGGCAGCATCATTTAGTCTTTGTTCGAAGTCGATGATATCTAGGTCATCTTCCTCCCTTATAATCGCTGATGCCAGCGAACCAATTGCTGTTAGAACGGTCTCGGCCAAAAATCTTGTGTCTCTTTCATGTGACCATCACGTTTTATCGCAGCTACTGAAAGAGTTGCATCTTTGAACGTGAGCTAGGTGTAGTTTCACTTCAAGTACTTCGGGGTCCGTTGGGTTCTCTTCTAACGCTTCCAAATACTGTTAATCAAGATTTTTCGTTGCTTTAATACCTTTGTTTTCTTTATTCGACTGTGCTTCATCAGCCGCCTCTGGAAGAGGGATCATGCATAAGCTTCCACCGATGTTGTGTTTACTGCTATTCAATAATATGCCGTCTGTTAACTAGATTCTGACACTTTGGGGCCTACGCAAACGTTGCAAACTGCACCCTTTTCATGTTAAAATTACGGTTCTACTACAAATTTCATTGGTTAATAAATAACTCTGCCCTATTATTTGTGGTGTTACAAATTAAATAACCTTAGCATTTTTGTAAATATTTCGGTATTCTGAATTACCAACGGTATTCCAAATATGCCGCACTTCCTCTACTATTCCGACTAAACTTTATTGATAACTATTTCTATTAGCTGTTCACTCGATTTAGTCCGCAACTGTAAGTGATTATCGACGGAAAGAAGTTTTGTCAATGTATCAATTGTTTTTATAAAGTTGTCGCATAAATATCAACAAGGAGAATTGCAAACCCGATTTTAAGAGATATTTTTTTAGATATTTATGATTAAAGTTTCGCTGCTCATTGAATAATTGTGAAGTTGAAGGCAGGTAGTTGTCGTGGCTCAATTCTTCCCGAAGGATTCCGATTTCCATGCAAGTGTACGAATACCTTTGTTTTACTGATTGTGGGTTAATGTTGCATTAGATATTGAATAGAATCGTTACAAAGTGTTGTTGAATACAGTAAGAAAAATTCGTATAAACGCACTTCAATACGAAGTTTTCCTCTTATTTGAAAGTAGAAAACTGGCAACGTTGTCAGAAAGCTTTGTTTTGTTTACATGGCTTCAATTGTCAACGTTCCTAAGTTTCAATTTGTTTAACTTACTTATACAGGGTGTTCGGCCACCACTGGGAAAAATTTTAATGGGAGATTCTAGAGGACAAAATAAGACCAAAACCAAGAAAAAATTAAATTACAAAAATTTCAAATTATTCTGAAAAAATTATTTTTGGTTGCAGGGGACAATTACAATCATTTTTGGTCATTACACATACTCCCGAAATCCTACGCAGTTTCGAGAAAAAAAATTCCTTATCGAAATTATAATTTCTAGCCAGAAATGTCAGCCCGAATTTTCATGCGAATCTTTAAAACATCATAACTTCCGAACGGATTGGAGGATTTTAATATTTCAAACGACAAACAATGTATATTTTGGCGAAGAAAATGTAGAAATTCTAACAATATTGAAGAAGTTGTTCCTTGACCCGTACAATGAGAAAAACCCCATAAAAATGGTCTCTTTTTCAAACTGCCATAAGCCCTGCAATAGTGAATATATTTCAATGAAACTTTTTTCTGAAGTAGAGCTCACAGATACCTACAAAAAAGTATTAGACAACATTTCTGTAGGGGCGTTAAATAAAACTTACGAAAAATGAAAAACGAATTTTTAAGAAAAATCGACAGGAGGGGGTAGGTACCTAAATTTTCCGACGAAAAAAAAAGTTTGAAATCGTTCTGGAAAAATTATTTTCGGTTGGAGTGGTCAATTACATTCATTTTTGGCCAATAGACATACCCCCAGAATCCTATCCACTTTCCAGAAAAAAATTCACTACTGGCGGAACTTTAAACGTTAATAACTTTTTAACGAAGTCTCCATCAACAAATTGGTATTATTGATTTTTGTCCTATTTTGTCCTCTAGATTCCCCCATTACAATTGTTTTGAGGGGTGGCCGAACACCCTGTATAGTCAAGAAGCAGAATAAAACGTTCATAATAGTGTTTGCAAGTGTGAAATTCGTATGAACGCAGTGCTTTGTTTCGATTAATTTTGAGAGAAATAACAGTGGTAAGTGCTTTATATTGTTGAATTGTGTAGTATTAAACTATATTTGGTAATACATTTCATAATACATTGGTTTTAATAAAAAGGAGAAGAATGCCAAGAGGAAATTTCGACGAAAAAGCTACAATAGCAATTTTAAATAGACGAGGTGAATCAAATACAAAAATAGCAAAGGAAATTCATCGTTCAGAGTGTGCAGTACGCAATTTTTCAAAATTGAAAGAAAATTATAGAAAAAATTGTGCTGCGACAGGTTGCTCGACTGGAATATGCAAAAAACCATATTCACTGGATTGATGAATGGAAGAGAATCATTTTTTCGGATGAGAACAAATTAAATTTAGACGGTACAGATGCATACAGTTCCTACTGGTACGATTTACGTGAAAAAAATGACCCTAAAAATTATCCAGAAATTTCCATGGTGGAAATGTAATGATTTGGGGCGCATTTTCTTCATACGGAAAACTAAAACTTTGTTTTATTAAGAGCAAAATAAATTCAGAAAAGTACGTCGACATGTTAGATGCAGCATTAATTCCATTTTTGGAAGATGCAGTTGGCGAACGTAAATTTATATTTCAACAAGACAACGCAGCAATCCACGTTTCAAAATATTCCCGTGGATGGTTTAAGGTGCGGGACATCCCTTTAATTGAATGGCCTGCATGTAGTCTTGACGTGAACCCCATTGAAAACTTATGGGGGTATAATGGCCAGAAGTATATATGCAAATGGCCGCCAATTCACCGATACTGCTGCTCTGAAAGAAGAAATTAAACGTTGCTGGAAAGAGATTTCTATTATAATCAAATTATTTTCTAATAATCAAACAAAATTTTTATTACCATACAAAATATTAAATTTATAATTATAATATAAGTTTAGTTTTATTTCGTTTTTTCTTGCTGTGCGTTTATACGAATTTTGCACAGAGAATAAAACTGTAATAAATAAATAAATGTATATGTATATATGTTTACTTGAATACAAACATGTAAATTTCTGTAGCACATAAACATATTTTTACTCTTCTGTTGTTATTATATTCACCTCATTTGAATTTAAAACTTATAGTCCCAAAAAACATATTTCTTTAGGTGCATTTATACGAATTTCGCTCACTGTAGTAAAGGTTAACTTTTTGAAGCACGCTGGAATTAAAAGTGGGACATTTTTGGTCCCACCTCGAAATATTGCAATAGCTGCATGCGACATAGGTTTATATTTCGTCTTATTTACGTAAAGCAGTTGGTAATATCTTCAACCAATATTACAAATGTATTCACTTGTGTTGGCAACATTCAACATGCCAATACAAGTTCATCAATTGTTGCAAGCGGAAGGTTTATTGCGACAATCTTTTTTTCCTGGTTTTACGTGAAAAATCGTAGAAGTAATATATGATACCTTTATTAATAAAAATATACCAATTTTGTTTAATTTAAAACGCAACAAAATTTCTATTTTATTATCTGAAATTCTGTGTCGCAAAGTGTTAAAAATCGGTATATTAATCGGCAATGAGTTTGACACTGCACGCGATCGTGAGTGTCGGGACGTAACGGAGCAATTCGGGTGCATCCTCGCGGGCAGAGTAGTTGGCTCCGGTGGTCCGCTTTTTGTGTATGTCGCTGTACAGACCAGAGGGAGACTGCCGAACAGATATAGGAACACGTCGAAAAGCGAGCGCGGGCGCACTCGTGAAATCAGTCGTTCGCAGTCTACGCGAGTGTGACGGTGGTGTGCGGTGACGTCGCGACGCCGGCGCAGTCGCATCGATCGATTCCCAACGTTTTGCTGGCGGTGTACTCTCGCGGCTGGTGGCGAGGAAAGCTCAAAGTCGAACAGAGACGATATATCGAATAGAAAGAAGAGGCGTGTGCGTCTGAGAAAGAGGGAACGAAAGGCTGAGGGGGCGGATAGAACGAGAGGGAGGAAGCTGACGAAGGAAGAGAGCGCGAGAGAAAGGGTGTAGAGGCGAAGGGAGAATCGACAGACGGGTATTGGTGCGCGCGTGTCTTTTGGCGACACAACGCGTACAACGGAACGTGCAGGATCTCTCGACAAGGTGACAGATTACGGGGAAGGTTTGTTTCGAGCCGAAAAAAACAGCACCGGCAGTTTTTGCCTCCGTGTCTCTCTCTCGGTTTAAAAATATTCACGCACAGCGCGGTGCAGGATGACGGCGTTGCGGATTTAGAAGAGAGAAACGTAACCTTCTCGCAAGCTGGACGCCGGGATCGATTGTAATACAGTCTTCTTAACAGCCGGCTGACACTGGCCCGAAGACATGGATTACCGGTCTGCTGGCACCAGGTGCGAGGATGATTCCCTGGAGAACGAGAAAGGAGTCGGTGCTGCTGCGGTAAGGGATGCATCCTTCTACGCGATTTCACAATCGTTCCGTCAGAGACTTTTAGGGCTACGACGTGTCGCCTCTGCTTTCACGGGTGTTGCATTCTCTTTCGGGTTTTTTTCCTAAATAATCCACTATATTCGACGTCGCATAGGTTTCTCATTGTCACGTGTTTTTTTTCCCCCCTGATACGTAGGTCTTTTTCATCCGCTGCTTTGCCACGAAGATTAATGACAACCGTGACAACACGCTAGAAGGTTCATGCACCAAAACAATAAAGATAAACGGAAACATCCACAATTAATGCTGAATATAACGTTAGAGGCACGAAGTTGAATTGATAGTCAACAGGACGTTATAAATATCGTGATAAAAAAAGGTGATAAATGTAACCCATGTCGTGACGTTGTTTTTTTTAGCGAAATAAAAACGGCGTTGATCGTGTCATTATTTAATTAAGCGATTGATTAAGGAACTTCAGTGTAAGTTTTATATTTCAAGTATTGAAACTATCTTGACAACGATCTAAGTAAAATTCCACGGTACAGATTCGATTTTCACGTATTATTTGGTAAGCGGAAGAATTGAGTACCACTGTTATGTGCGATACGTATGTTTTCTTCGTTAGAACTGTTTTACACGTCGTATCGTGACACAATCGTGTACGAAAAGCAGAGAAGTTCGTTGATTTGAGAATGCGGTTGCTCTATTTCTGGAGTTTAAATCGGGTTACTACATGTTTTCGAACTTCTACCTTCTCTGTGATTTTATCTGTTACATATGATCAGCGACAGATCACAGTGCGATGATATACCGATACGTTATATCGAATCGAATACGCGCGATAACATCATTTTTCAATATTCTTCATGGTTGATCGTCGATGTCTAATTCTTTTTCATTGATATTTATTTAATCATCAAAGTATGAATCACCGTACAAAAACATTTTTATCGTATCGATTCGATTCTCTTGGAAGTCTCGAAAATTAAATGAAAAACGCACTTATGAATACTTAACTTAAAACCAAAAGCATCATTAAATCGCACTCCCACGTGATGTAAATTGTAGAAAACACGAAAGCAATTTTTTAAGTAAATAATCTCGTCGAACTACTATTAACGAGTACTTTAATTAAACAATGAATACTTCGATACTTATTTCTCCTATTTACTTCTTTTTTGTTGCTTTTAATGCGAGCATACTTAACGTTCTATTGTCCGTTGGTACAATTATACTCTTCTTAACAAACAAGTATGTAGAGTGTGTACTGGTTGAATTATCTGATATCATCTGGGATAGAAAATATTGTTTCGGCGCAAAAGTTATTTTAGTGCATAAATAAACAAGACGCTGTTGCTACTCGCATAGTGTATTAAAGGCAGAAAGGGTCGAGTCGATATCTCGGATACTATCGATTCTATCGACAATTTATATAGAACAAACATGTTTTTGAATTTAATTTCTAACAACTTTTGATACGTGTTCTTTTGCTTCTAAAGCAATAGCAAGCAAATTATCGTACATTTTACAGTTTGGCATTTTTCACAATTCTTACATTCTGCAAAAATGTTGGATTTTAAATCGAGCTACATATATCTATAAATGCGCTCTAACTTTCATTATAATTGCATCAGCCACTTTCCCGCGATATGATAATAAACAAACACATAGAATTACAATTCGTTTGCATAGAATATTTAAAAATAAATATTTATCGGCGGGTATAACGTATTTGAAACATATAAACGTAAAACGTAATTGTTTATATTATATAATTTTCATTATGCTAATACGCGCTATTTAATAATAAATTCTAATCCGTCTCTGTTAAATGAAGATTATTCTACAGTAGTTCCATTATTTACGTAATAAATAATATCTAATGTCTATGATTTAATAATATTTATCATTGTTTCGCAGACTAAGATATCGAAAACAGGAGTTTATTGATACTTTCTATTATTTTCCACTTTACGGTGTAAAGCTGCGAGCTATTGTTTACATCAATTCGATCATAGAATGAAATTAAAAGTCGAATTTGATTATAATAGCAACAAGGAATCGATAAAATTAACTTTTTTAAAACTTTTAATAACTTAATGAAAAGATAGATAAAAAGAGAAACTACTATTAATTAGATAAAGTATTATATCTATATATTTATGGATTATTCGTATGAATACGATGGTATGAATTACAATCAAGTGTCTAGTTCTAAAATTATCAATAGATAAACTGTGTTTAGTATTAGTTGTCTGTAATTGAGACCTGTACTAATTCATAATAAATACGAGTTCAATGCGTTTTTTTTCTAATAACTTAAAATTTGTATTTGTTTAGTTGAGTTCATTTTGTATAAAATCGACGCGTAAAATTAAAAAAATTGTAGCTTTTTACTAATCGTTTCAACCGTGTTCAATTATACAAGTATATTATTCTGTAACGCGACGCATGATTTTTCAGTGATTTACGGTCATCTAGCAAAAGTTTTGGACAAAAATTTATCGATATCGAATGTACAACAAATAAAAATGATAAAAAATGTTTTAATAGCGATATTACACCCTGTATATTAACGAAGTTCGTTCTTTTCAAAACTAATGGCCACCGTATAGCGTTGCAACGAATTCGTAACGGTTGCATTTCGTAATTATTTTTACAATATATGCATTTTCGCGTGAAACGTGTGAAAGGTAAACACAACGATAGCTGTAAAAGGATTGCGTAAAAAAGAAAAAAAAAATGCACGTTCGTTTTATCGATCCCTAGATGCTATAAGAGAAAGTGAAAAGAAAAGGTGAAGTCGAGGCGCTTGTAAAAAGATTCCCGAGATTCTTGGCGTTCTTACTCTCGAGTGCTATTCTTTGTCGATGTTTCAGAACGATCATAAGGGCTCGTCGAAGCGCGGCGGCTCGCACACGCGCGGCACTGCAATGTCCTTTGGTTTTCGACGACGACCGGCCTCCGGAATACCGATGCCGATAACGAATTACACGGCGGAATCGAGCTTGCTGCATCCACGATCGAAATCAGCCGGTCCGGAACAGAATCGCAGACGCGACGACGACGACGACGGTAGCTGCGCGATGCGTAATTCCTCTTCTGGACGATCAACGCCTCGTTTAGCGCCGCCGAAGAAAGAAGCCAGCGGTATCGCCGTTAGGACGAATCGTTTCGGTTACAGGCAACCGCAGGCGAAATTCACGAACAAGGTTGGCGATATATGTAGCAGTCATACAGTAAGTCACTACAATCAAGAAAAGATGCAACAACATCAACAAGATAGTTTCGGTAAGCAACCGCACAGGGTGGTGCAGGTTTGCAACGCGGCACCGGCATCGAAGATTAAGCAAGCGCCTGTACAGAATACAGTCGGTTGCAATAATGTTAATACGACGTACGTGGATGGGAGTCGCAGACCGTCTGGGATTCCGGAACCGTTCGGCAGGTATACTCTGCACACCAGTCATCTGCCGTTGCCTCAATACGCTGTAAGAATGACCGACGCGAACTCGAAGATCGCCAAGACCGTGGCGAATCAAAGCAGAAAGGTGTCCGCAGCGTCGAAAAGCTCGACGAGTTCGAAGGAAGGATCCAGCACGGAAGATTCCGGCGTCGGTAGTCAGCAGGGTTGTCGGGAAGAAAGCGAATTGAGGGGCGTCGATTATACGGACAGCGTACTGTCGAGAAGGCACGGCACGGGCAGACCTAGGAACTTAAGGATGGTCGTGAACGGAAAAAGTTTCGATGTCAGAGATGTTAGAGACGACGATAGCACTGTTACCGAAATATCCGTTATACCGTTACCGAAAACGTTCGTTACTGCTGCCACTGGCTTAGTACGAGAAAGAACCACGCAATATCAGAGAATCGTCAATAAGGACAATAGGTACACCGAGTCAACGACGTCTATGTCCACCACGTCCTCGGAGGGATACGACGAAGGATTGGGCGAGGAGAAGGTTTATAAAGATAGATCGCATTCCGAGAAAATTCCTTCCATCAAGTCGGACTTCAGTCCACCGAGTTCGGACGATCCTGAATACGGGCACGGGGAGGCTATGGCTGATGAATATTCGTTAAGTTCTAGTGACGAATGTCATCGTTCCACTACCATCCAACACTTGCAAATTGCTCCGAACACCGCTAAGAACGGAACGGTACCGAAGAGTGCATTGCGTTCCGTGCTTCTTACTATCGAAGATCCTGCGTTCGCCGCAGCCGCAGCTACGTCGACTTCGATGATAGACGATGAAACATCCCCCGTCGATAGTCTTTTCGACAGTCTGACGGCTAGTATTACACAGTCGGACGCGAAAGCCCCGAAGAAGGAGCAAACGATGGAACAATCCGGCAACGACGACGACAGCCCTGGAACGCCAACGAACGCCTCGAATTCGTTGAGTTTGTCGGAGAGCAGAGAATTCTTCGACGATGAGATCGCTGATCAACCTGGGCTTGTTTTCGATGACAATTCGAGAGGCGGAGGTGATACACAATCTGCTATAGCTGGTCAGGTGATCACAGATAACAGCCACACTTTGGTCGAATCCAGTCCTAAAACAGGTACGGATGCTTATCAATTGTAGGAGTAATAGAAGTTTAAATTAAATCATATTATTAAGCGCAAATTATATTATTGCAAAGCGATCAGTGTGTAATTGGTTGCAAAAATTCAACATATATTCAAAGAACTTTTCGTGCAAATGATGTACGATGGAAACGATTTTTAGGTACACTCTTTAAGGAGTTTTCGAGGTCAACTTCACAGTCCCTTGTATGGAATACTGAAACTGTATTTTGTTATTATCATTCTCGACGATAGATATTTAAAATTTCGATTTTCAGTTTGTTGGAAAAATTTTTCTTTCTGCTTATGACTTTGATTAACACTGTTCCATAATTGAACTTGTTTTAAACGCGACAGGCATCTCCCACGAAGTAAAACATAACATTCTCCTAAAAAAGACGAAGTTGATCTTTAGGCCTCCTAAAGACTCCCGTATACAAAGTTTGCGTTTCCATTATACATAGAATAATTTTCTATACACTGAGTATTACATAAGTATCGTACATATGAAATATTTTATCATACACTGTCTCAGTTTGGAGATTATCACGTATATCGCTTTGTAAGAATCTGTTACTTTTATTTGAATTATATTTTAAGTAAGAGTATTATTGCTTTTAATGTTATTTTTCAATCCAATTTTGTTCATCATATTTTAAATTACCAATTCTTGCAGGACATGGAAAAAACTCGACAAACAGCCCCCACCATGGCAAACGAATTAGCCGAGCTGGTAGCGTCGACACTTTGTCTCCCTGTGAATCCATTGCTTCTGACGATTTAATATTGGATTATGAACAGAGCGATGCGAGCTCCTACGAGGAACAAAATCGGTTAGTATTTTATTTTTTTTTATTAATTGATTGCTTATTTCATTAATTTAAAATAGTATTTTGTCACTTAAATGAAACGTAAAAACGTTCTAAAATTCTTGAACTGCGTATACAAAATGTTCAAAAGATTAAGTATTTACATGTTATTACATGAATTATGTTAATAAACATGCATTGAAAAAATTCAGTTTCGTTACTCTTTTCTTTAGTAATTAATCAGTTTATTATTTATTGTTTTAGGGTGGATTCAAACACGGCGTTGCAGGACATGGATGATGCCACTATTCTCTCCGAACTGGAAGCCCAAGGAGAAGAAGTGATGAGGCAGTGGACTTCATTGTTGGGTACATGTCAAACATTGCAGCAAACTAATAATTCAAATACAATTAATAACAATGTGAACAATGGATCGGCCAATAACAATAACCAATCTACCAACGAAATAGGGTGTGTATTTAAAACTTTTATATTGCATTTACTATTTCTAACCGCTTTGTACTGATCGATGGTTTAACGTAATGCTTGTTTCTATAGTAGATACGATTGCATCGAGAACAAATTCTACTAAATATTATTTTTTAGACATCTACAAGTATTACGAATAATCGTTTCGCCGCTTTGAAAATAATTTCAGAATTATTTTTAAATATAGATCAGTGTTCCTATCACTATTGGTGTTGATGTACTTCAAGGAAACGCACAATTGTTTATAGCTTGGAAAATGCTTTTTTTGTTTTGTTTTATGTACTTACATTATATGTTGCTTTGCTGTTTATTATTATACACGTTAATGTGTAATATCACACGGTATAAATATGAGTGCATAAAGTGTCGTGTTTTATATTATTAAAGGTTCAGTATAATATTTAGGTATATAATTCAAAGTACGGAATAAATACTTTATTATTTCACGTCTGCTTTAAATATAGTATATATTCGAAAATTTATGAAAGTGATTAAAAACAGCATTTTAAAGTTAATTACTTCATGATGTAGAAACTCCTTTGGAATTATAAACTTTCTAACATCTTTAATACTTACACGGTGTTCGTATTATACAAAATATAAATTATGTAAGAAAAAATTCGAAATAAGGAACATATTTGAAAGAAAAATCAACTGTAATATTACTACCAGTTGTTCCATATTGTTTCAAAATTTGGAACGCCAGATACTTTTGGATTTGTAGACAGCTATAAAAATAATGTATTTAATTTTTTCTTTATATTGAAAAAACGAAAATATTTCAAGCATGATTCAGTAAAACCTATGTATAAATTAATTCATAAAGGAATCTACGAGTATGCTACAGAACATTTTTCAAAAGGAAAGTAAAATAGTGACTAGTCTACGTTTTTTATTAGAGGATAAATTATATAGATTTTACTATTAGACAAGTTTTCGTTTAATTTCTAGGATTGTTAAGGTAAGTTGTATAATACTATGATATTCAGTGTTATTGCTGAGTTTTCTTTGCATAGTTTAACGTTTTTTCGATACATAGGGCGTATTAAAAAACTAAAATAAAAAACATTATAAATTTATTTCTTCGGCTCGTATTGGTATTTCCTACGTCACGTAGAGGTGACGTATTAATTATTTTCTGATCGTTTCGTACATAAGAATAATTTGCAAATGTTCATCGAAAGCATTTACAATTATCGCTATATGATTTTATGATATAATTTCTCAACTTCTTACAATTCTTTTTTTTATACATATGTATAATTTTGAAGAAAATATTTATCAATTCTTTCAATCAGTCCAAAATCAAATATGTACTTTAGTACATTTTGCGATGTTAGGTGTATTACGTTTGATGCATGATACATGTGTGCACCCGATTACACGAATTTGTGCCGTTTGAGGGGAATATGATTCGATTTAAAATTTAATCGCTAAACGTTATCTATCGTTTCAGCTATACGATACTGAAACCCTATTGTAAAGAAGGTGGATTCGTTTAGCGTGTTATACCTATTCTCTTGAAACTGCATTAATTCTAGGTGCAGGGTGTATGTATGTTCGCTTGGCTTACATAGAATACTTTTATATAAATTTCTACGATATTTATGTCTATGTATAGATATATAATATTAATATTCTAAACAGCAACGATTAATATCATGGTAAGAACGATATGCATTTAATAATCGATAGGTACACATAATATACAATAGAAACATAAATACAATGATATTAGAATAAAAATATAAATATCATTATATTTATATTCAACACTCTTTAATTATTTACACATAAAATGTATATAGATGAAAGCAGGTATGTTATACTCATGATTATAAGCGAGATAGTACTAAAAGATAATTCTCTTTAATGAATAGTTTCAGTAACTAATCTGAAAAATTAGTAGAAGTTTTAAGGGTAATTACATACTTTTTACACTTTCGTATAGTTTCCTTTTTTTTTACATAAGAATAAACAATATATTACTGTATTTTAAATGTTTATAGGGAAAATTAGTATAGGAATATATGAAAAATGAATAATGTCAAAAAATTATTACTTGCAATTATTTCATTTTTATATTACGAATACTATTTATTAACGACACGAATTTTAATAATCTCTTATGCGTACGGGTTTACGTTTTCGAACAATGAATGGAAACGAAGTTTTTTTTTCGAATTATGTATCGAACTGGATTAAATGCTATCACTTTAACGAGCACATTTGTGAAGTACGTCAGAGTTTTAGATATGCGCGAAACATTGTTCTATGGTGTACATTCATCCGTATAAAACTACGTCTGCATTCCAGACGTGCAGGTTTCTCTTCAAGCGAGATATCACACTAGTCTGAACGTTCATTTCGAAATCAATAACTCCGTAGAAGTTGCTTTTATATGTTCATGTGAAAGGGATGTTAGAAACTCCTAACCCATACAAAAATGTTAACATTGAAGGGATGTAGTATTTCGTATTACTTATGCTATAATTAAGTAATGTTAAATTTATTTGAACGTATAGTGTTTACTGCTTTTAAAACAGAAATACGATAGATACTTCTTAAATATTTTTTTTTATTTCTTATAATCCATGTTTAGTAAAATATTTTTTGTTATTTTTAATTATTAGCAGTTGAAGATTAGTTGAACTTATAAACACATACGTATACTATTAGGCGGTTGAATTAGCATTACTTTACAATTTTTTATTTTTTCTGATTATGAAATAAAACATATTTACGTCATCACGTTTTCTGATTCGAACTTTGTACTAGTACTTCAGAGAGTTCTTCGTAGAAGAACATGTACACATACAGAAGACACTGATAATTGACTTCAGTATCAGACTATAGTATAATTCCATAGAATTTCTTGACATGAATCATTTAAAAGTATATTTGCTGAGTTATATAAATGGAAAATTAAAAGTTTCGGGAAAGTATGGAAGTGAAACTATCATTCTATGATGTATGGAAAGAATATGGGTACTCCGGTTACCAAACAAGCGTAAAATTTTCGGTTTCCAACGGAAGGATTAAACAAGTTAATGTCTTTGCAAATTCGTTTAAACGAACTATTGCCATCGCATTGAAAGGGATTGTTATACGTACATGTATATTAGCTCTGAATAACAGTTATAATATTTTTTCGGTTCTCATAATTGTTTCAACAACTGAAACCGACATTATAACTGTTTTCAACTCTTGGTTTTCTGTGGTAGGTGCAATGAAAAGTATTATTTACGCAAGCATTGGAATATAATTCTATGCATTTGAATTTGGCGCGCGGCTCACTTTCCGCCTCCCACCATGCGCCTACCTTTTCCTCCATTCGCTGACTCAGATCAGTATCATGGCGCAGCCGGCAACACGAGCTTGAAACGCAACGTTTGTAGTAACGCGTGTGCGCTCCTACCATTCGCACTATTTTTCCGTGGTTCGTTGTTGTACGCGTCGCGTTCTCGTGTTTTCGCAATCAACGTTCAGTAGTTCTAAAAAAATCGTGAAGTGTTAAAACAACAGTGAATAATAGAAAGTGTGAAATTAAAAAAGTACATCAAACGCACTGTTTCATGTCTAACACGGAAGTTTTGCCAACAAAAGAGTGTTGCGTCAGCGAATCTTCTAATGGGTAATTTATAGCAGAAAACACTAAACAATTTTATTTATCTTTCTTTTCCTCTAAAAAACTATTTTACACGTACGAGAAAAAAAACATTATCAGCGACTATGTCACTGTTCGTAATGTATCGGTTGAATCCTTAGAGATAATATTCTCATCTACATATAATAATTTATAGTAAAATACAGCAAAGAAATTATCACGAATTTGTGACAATAGAAATTAATATCTGTATACTAATGACAATTTTCAAATGAATTTCGAATAAATTTTGCTTTTTTTCTTTATACAAACCATTGTTACTAACCGTGTGCATCTTATAACAAAGATTTTAAATAATAATTATGGAAGTAGAATACACGCTATTGTGCGAATAATTACAGCGATAAAGTATATTTTATAATCAAATTCAACTTTCTGTTTTGTTTGGATCTATTTGACTTCAAAATGATTCGTAATTTTTTCGTACGAAAATATGAAATTGTTCATAATTCTTGAAACAGAAAAAGTGAAGGTCCAATGGTAAGGTCATTGGTACAGTTTGTTGAGCCAAATAGACCCGAAGAGAACAGTAAGATTAAAATATGCTTTGTATTTTTAGCGAATTTTAAGTGTAAATTCTTGGAAATACGTTATTAACGTTAAGTTGGCCATTCTGTATTAATTATAATGTATCCGTTTGCTTCTTTAATTGTATAAGGTATTCAAACATTCATGGTATGAATTTTTCAAACAGCATTCAACGAATAATAAAAGAAAGGATCAAGAAACATGATTCTTAAAATCAACCGTTATGAAGTTATAAAATAAACATATTTTTGCACGTCGAAGAAATTATTTAATATGTCTTCCGGCTATTTGAAAGCGTAATTAAATGTTTTCTCCTTTGTTTCTATCTCTCGGCAACTGTCCTGAATTTTTCGAATTGAAGTATAAAGGGATATTAAATTTACCATACATTCTTAAACAGTTAATTTTTTTCAACATGTTTATTAATACTTTTTTATTTAATACGATACATATGTGCAAAGTTTATATCATGAGTTTGCGAATACCCTGTGTACATAGGAGAAAGAGTATCCTTTCAGTACGATATAATCAATTATGATTTATGTAATAACAACCGACCGTAAAGTATTACGAATTGTTAATGCTTCATTTTTTTAAATAGGTTTCTCATTTACATTTCTCACCTTTTGTCGAGCGTAAACGTAGCTTCGTTATATTTACGGAAAATCCAACTTGTTCTGTTCCAAGATTACTGCAGATTTCCATTTTATTACACTTATTAAATTATACATTTGTTTTTCCACCGTATTGAATCAGCGTCGAGAAGTAATACAGCTGCTCATTCCTT